GTTGATGAAAAGATTATAATGTCATCAAGGTAGCAGAGACACGTCTTCCATTTGAGACTCCGCAGGACGGTGTCGATCATCCGTTCAAACGTCGCGGGTGCATTGCAGAGCCCGAAAGGCATCACGTTAAATTCGTATAGGCCATCGGGGGTTGCAAATGCCGTTTTTACTTTGTCGTCATCGTGCGTGGGAATTTGCCAATATCCCGAACGCAAATCAAGGCTTGAAAAGTATTCGGCGCCTTGCAGTGAATCAAGAGCATCGTCGATGCGTGGCATGGGGTATACGTTCTTGCGTGTGATGTTGTTAAGTGCCCGGTAATTAACGCAAAAGCGCACGGAGCCATCTTTTTTTCGTACCAAAACAACAGGGAATGACCAAGGGCTAGTTGATGGACGAATTATTTCTTGTAGGAGCATGTCAGCGACGTTTTCCTCGATGATTTTTCGCTCAGCGAGAGACACGCGGTACGGGCGGCGATGTACAATAGATTTTTCCTCCGTCTGAATGCGATGCGCTGCAGTGGTAGTTCAGCCCAACGTTGAGGAGCAGATGTTGAAAGAATCGGCGTGTTTCGTTAATAACGCAAGCAACTGCTGCGCCTGCAGAGCTGTTAAGTCATCACTGATAAGGGCTGTGAAGGGAGAGGATGATCCAGGATTACTCATAGAACGGTCGTTGGTAGAGGCAGGTTTAAGTGGCGTGACGCTGACAGGCTCAGCATCCACAACACAGGCTACTGCAGTGCTTTCTGGTAGGAGAACTTTCTCTGGCGTTTCATTCGTAGCAATGACGAGCGCGGAGCCATGGTGAAAGCGTACGACACCTGATGCAAGGGCTACGCCTTTAGCGACGCAAGTCGACGAAGGGCACACCAAGACGTCACCGTGGTCGATGTCCTTAGAGGTCAGTGTCACAATTCGTTCTTGATGTGGCGGTAGTTCGAGATCTTCGCGAGCGAACAGGCGTAGTGACTTGTAGACGCCTTCGTCGAACATGGAGTCCGTATTAGTTAGGTGCAGAATCCGTTCACCACAACATATAGCGGCTGAAGAAGAAGATAGGAAGTCCCACCCTAGAATTAGCTGGTGAGAGCACCGGGTACGCACAGTGAACTCGATGTAATGCAAAATGTCATCAATAAACACACGAGCAGTACAAAGAGCAAAAGGGCGGATAGTTTTCCCCTGGGCTTCGACTAGATTGGGTCCATTATAAGGTGTCATTACTTTTTTTAGGCTTTGCATAAATCATGCCTAATCACAGAAACTGTAGCACCAGTGTCCACCAAAGCGTCCACGAGAACTCCTTCCACCGTAACAGAAACCATTTTGAATGGGCGTGCTGGAGGAATATGAGTTCTACTGTTACATGCAGTTTCTCCTCCGAAAACTGCATCATTTAGTTTTCCGACCGGTTGTCAGTCGTAAACGAGGCTGGCCGAAGAGGAGAGGAGGAGCGACAGAAGGGAGAAGGTGATCGGCGTCGGCTTGAACGGTAAGTGTTCCACGTCTCAGTCGACGCGGGTTGAGATGGAGACTGCTGTTGTGTTGTCCAGATGAATAACGCCAAGCGTAAGAATCCCCACTGGACAAGTCCCGTTCGCGCATGTCGTACCCGTGACGCTCGTCTTGCTGGCGCTTGCGGAAGAAACGCGATATATAGCCACGATATCCACAGTAAAAGCATGTTGGGTGAGACGGGCGCCAAGGCGGGTAGTAGGGGGCGTGCGGCACACCGGGAGATAGCGCACTCAAGTGGACAGACGGAGGGTCGGGTGGCATTGGCCAGAAGTGGACCGGTGAGGCAGCAGCAACCGGCGTGAATGATGGCAGCGGCGAAGTAGAGTTTACGTTGCGAGGAGGCGCGGTCGCAACTTGTGCGTACGTTGGAGGGCTAGACGGAAGTGGCTGTACGTAGGCTGGACCGGTAAATGATGTTAGTTCCTCCCTTACGATGTCATGCAGGGCCATGCTTGAAGATTGTGTGACAGATGGAGAAGGTGGTGAGATGCCCTTTGATTGAAGTTCTTCGAGTATGATCTCCCGTATCATGTCACGCAGGTCCCAGTCTGCTGTACGGTGTTCACTATTGCCCGACTGAAGGCGAACAGAATCAAGTTCGTCGAGACGCTGACATGTAGAGACGACGTCAGCAACAGTAGAAGAATTCTGGGCAACAAGGGCATTGTAGGCAATGCTTCCGATGCCCTTCAGGATGTGGCGCAGTTTGTCCGACTCGGACATCGAAGAATTGACGCGCCGGCAAAGCGCAAGGACATCCTCGATGTAAGATATGTATGACTCGCCTGGATGTTGTTGGCGAGTATCTAGGGCCCTCCTCGCTAGAGCGGATCGAACGGCTGGCGTGCCGAATACTTGGCGAAGCTGCTGCTTGAAGGCAGGATAGTCGGTGACGTTGATCTCATGGTTCAAGAACCATGTCTTGGCAACGCCCGTCAGATAAAGCGATACTCGGCGGAGCTTGTTAGAGTCGTCCCAGTGATTAGTTGCGCTTACTCGCTCGTAGTTATCGAGCCAGTCCTCCACATCTTCGCCGCGGAGACCAGCGAAGATCGGAGGGTTACGTTGGTGGTTTACGATGTAAAGAGGAGGGGCTTGCGGCGCAGAGACGGGAGCTGAAAGGGCATCCACCCACTCACTGTGAGACATGTTGGCGGACTGAGGGTCCAAGCGGCGGCGTGAACGGAGCTCCAGCAAATAGGCGTTGTAAGGAGAAGTACTGGGATTGTCAATCCACCTCCACCACGTATGACGACTCGGTTGTAACGAGGTTTATTGGCCGTGAACTCGGGAACGAACAAGCGCAACAGACCCGATAATGAAGCGCACATTCAAAGAAGATGATGATTGTCAGCCAGAACGTATGATGATGATTGACTGCTATTCAGATGAGGATGAAGCGCATATTAGATGCCTACAATATATATATATATATATATATATATATATATATATATATATATATATATATATATATATATATATATATATATATATATATATATATATATATATATACTGCTACGTGTATGAGCCGAGAGAGGAGAAGAGGAGGAAGCTGTGAACTGGTGCTGATACCAACACCATTATTACGCGACCATCAACCTTTTTATTAACCATTAGGCCATTTGTAATATAAATGTGAAGAAAGAAAAGTGGGTGAAAAGATAACTTGCCGTTAGCAGGATCCGAACCTGCGACCTTGAATAACGCGTTCGATGCTCTACCACTGAGCTACCACGACAGCTATCCCCCCCCCCGCCACTTTATTGGGTATCTATGTGAATATAAACGTGGGAGTGTAAGTCAGCGCCGCTAGTAGCCATGGCGACGAGTGTGGCACACTCTTTATTAGCCTGTTTGGCGTCACGTAGACGTGATCTTAGTACTAACTGGCAGCTGACCAATAGTCCCTCGTATACAGCCTAAATGCACCAAGTCTGCCAGTACGAGACCCTCGTTAATGAATAAGAGAAACAAGTGTATACCTAAGGGCTCTTTTTTTTGTCTTCAGACACAGTATTAAGTATTAATGAGATCTAAGAGACAATAATGCCAAGGAAAGTATAGGGGTAGTTAATAGGCCAATGGTAACGTAAAGGTGAAGAAAGAAGTGTGGGTGAAAAGATAACATGCCGTGGGCAAGATCCGAACCTGTGACCTTCGAATATATATATATATATATATATATATATATAAGTGTGTGTGTCTGTCTGTCTGTCTGTTGGTTATGTCATGACAAGTGTCCCAGACGTGGCGCTAGACCATCTCAGATTGTGCCGATAACATTTACGTGTTTTTCGTATACCTCGTGAAGTATGACCGCGAAACATTTTTGCTCGATAAATATTTTCAGGACCTTGGCCCCCTCTCAAAGGTCGCTTGCTTTTGCTAAAGTGTGCACAACAGGAGAAATGTACATAAATTATATATATGCTTGCGCCACTTCAAAGCGGCACTTGAGCTAATAAAGAGGTTTTGTTTAGTTACGCAACCAAACAATTTTGAAAGTTTTCTGTTTACTTACCAGCTAGGCCTCTTCAAAAACAACAATCACCATCAAAGTTCACCTTTGTTACGCTAGCTGGAACTTTCTCTAAGCTATATTAGTATCAGTGTAGTGTACAGGAATGTTTATTTTTGTACAGACGTGCTTGGGTTACAAATAGGCCTCAAATGTTCCAGAAAAAAATTATATCAGCGAAAATATGCAATTTGTTTCATATTTGACCATAAATTTAGTACTGATGTTGTCAAAGAAAAATTTCCCACGATCCGGTGTTATAGGCCATTTCAAATTAAGAAGGCTATTTGAAATCATACTTTTTCTTAAGAACGAAAGTTATTTTTGAATTTGGCCCTCCGAATACATCCTGCATTCTTTTGTTGCCACATCACCACGTAGCACGTGGTCGCCTTTTCGGCTGGCAGTTGTTGAAAGAAAGAGAAAGGTGCGAGGTGTATGTCAGCAGATTGTTAGTGGCGGAAAGTCTTGTTGCTTTGATGTCAAGGCTACGAGTATTGAGTTCGCTTTACGATGTAAGCCTACTTGGCATGCCCATTGGGAAGTATGGAAGCCGTACTGCGGCTCGCAGTATCGTTGGCCAACAATGCTACAGGGGTGTCTGCACAACCATCGTACTTGAGAGAAAGTGTACAAGATGTGCTTTAATTGATGCGAATTTTGCAGTTGTGCAGATACCAGGGATGGCACTCTAGGCCCATGGCCCACTTTTCCCAATTTTCTTTTCGTTATGGCTTACTAAAGCGCAAAAAATTATCATTTCAAAAAAGTGTCCACCGCCCCCTCCCCCTCCCTCTCGAAAAACACTCTGATTATAACCCGGCACCAGAGAACATGTTTTCACAGCTAAGTGTAAGCCACAGTTTTCGAAGAACGTTTTGTTAGGCGCTCCGAAAAATAAGACGTTTATATAAGCTTATTGCTGAGTTGGAACTGCCAATCGTAATTCTTACCGAAAATGCCGAGAACTTTGGCTGAATGTGTGTCGACACTACAGAAAGGACTTGATCAACGCGTGCTCTTTTCTTGACGTCCTTCGGGTAGAGATCCGACGTTGGTGCGTATTTGTTCACCAAGTAGTAAGCGATGGCAGAGCTGCAGGTAATTGGAGAGGCAGGGACATATTTCTATCACGAAATGAATAAACACATAGGGCAAAGCATATAGGGCGCATGACATATTTCTTAAACAAGAGGCAAACCACCGCAGGTCGAGCGTACCTTCTGCGTACAAGTGATTCTTCCATTGTGCCGCACTTCACAGAGTTTTCTAAGCGAGAGGCCGCATCTACCGCGCTACACGTTATTCCTGGTAAAATGCTTTTGGCTTTTCTGCGACTCATACACTCCGAAAAATGCCTCAATGAGTATGCGTTCTTTAAGAAATGTAATGCCAGTTAGATGTCATATGATAATACAATGTTATCAACAGCTGGCATATACAGCAATACTGGCACGTATATTGAGTATGTACCAGTGAAATTCTATTCTGTGGTATACTGAATCGGAAGCCGATGTAGCATCTATAGTCATTCACCTACAAACGTAAAAGTGGGTTGTGTGAAAAACATTAGGAATTTCTTCGTTTAATGAACAGGAGAGTGGAAGGAGAAAATGGGATATATACACAAGGGACGGGATTGAGGCTGAGGACAAACAAGCGCCATTGCCCGCCCACTGCAGAATATCATCTATATACTATATATAAACGAAGGCCCCGCCGTGGTGGTGAGTGGCTGAGGTACTCGGCTGCTGAGCCGCAGGTCGCGGTATTGAATCCCCGCTGCGGCGGCTGCATTTCGGATGGAGGCGGGAACGCTGTAGGCCCGCGTGCTTATTTCGGTGCACGTTAAAGAACCCCAGGTGGTCGAAATTTCCGGAGTCCTCCACTACGGCGTCTCTCTTAATCATATGGTGGTTTTCATACGTTAAGCCCTAGTTATTATCATATATATATAGAAGAAAGAGGATGAGTTATTGAAACAATTTGACATTGCGCCAAATTAATTTCACAGTCAAAACACAGTAATCATATTCCCCTAATCTAGAAAATCTATAGGTATTGACTTGCATTAACCACCGGCTTCTTGGCCAATCCCCCTTAGTGGGTGAGAGCCACAAAAGAAAGGAACAAGCAAGCAAGCAAGCAAGCGATGATAACAAGAAAACAAACTATAAAGGGCGCTTTGTGTGCAGCAGTTGGAAGATTGTGCAAGTTGTAAAGCATTGTACAGAGTTCAGGAATGACAACTTACCACAAAAATATCCGGTAATTTTTTGCTATTACGGCAAAAATTTTTGCTATTATCCCAAAACCACATGTGCACTGCAGTAACGATTATTTCGGCGCTTTTTCACTGCACAACCATTATGTCCCCAGAGTGCCATGTCTAATGAACAGAGAGTTATAGTCATCTTGAACAGACATATGTTCAATCGTTAACCAAACAACTTCTATAGATAATTTGCTAGAGATGCTGAAAGAAAGTGTGATTTCCCAATTTCTGTGGCACTTGCGCGGTTTAGGAATCTCACTGACGTGTAACAGTCCGATCGGCAGGAGCTTGTCAAAAAGTAGCGCAAGGCAGTGGCCGAACAACAATAGGCATTTCACGCCAAAGATGCTATGATCGAGGCCTGCAGCGTGAAGCAGAAACTTGTAACAATCACGAACCAACACGCGCTCAATGACTACTTAAGCATTCGGTAGAGATGGTTGACAAGAAAAGTGAAAACGTGCCCACCAGCTCTTCTGTGACCCAGATTTGCTCTAATTAGAGAAAGCTGTGCAATTTGTGTTTTTTAAGTTTTGTTCTTTACGCCCTCTCCAATAAATTCAAATCTCTTAACTAGTGCAGGCCTCCTCCAACTCACCTCTCGTAGAGAATGAATCCAGAGTCGTTTATTGTCGGAACCTTTTGAAACGGGTTGATCTGAAGGGAAGGAGAAAACGATTAAAATTTAACACGAAATTTTCAGGAAGCGTCACCAGTTAGAAGAAAAAAAGATCAAATGAAGTAATAAAGACACTCTAGATCGGTTATAACTGTCTCGCGCACCTATACATCTGTGTTTCGGAAATGTGAACTTCGAGGTATTCATGAATAATAAAAAGGTGGCACATGCTTTTCACAAAAAAGTTCGCTTTCGGACTTTTCTCTTTATATTTTCATGTTATGTTTTACCCGTAGATTGGCGCTCTTTTATAACCTAATGTTACGTCAAACTTGGCACATTTTAGCTGTTAGCTTACCACGTTTTTATATTGTTTTTAGCAAAAAAACGCATGCTGGGAGCTTGACCTAATTGCTGTTATGCAATTCAGAAACTGGTATCAAACAGTCAAATCCGCTTATATTTACCTTATGAAAATACACGAGTTTATTACATATACAGGATTACTTAACATGCAATGTTATTGAAATATAATGTGTTGAATGCGAATTTCGGTGCGCACTGCCTTCACGGCCCTGCTCACTACAAAAAAGATCTGTGCGAGGATGAGTTTTAAACGAGAAATTGTGGTACACATCACAATACGCAGCTGTGCGCTCTCATCCAGCGCCAGAAACGTCTGCCTTGGTTTAGATGTTGCCTTCCCAAGAGGCACTGAGCTGCTTTGCTGGGATGCGGTACGTAGCGGTGATGTAAGGCTTCTTTTCTCCAAATCCGAAAGTACATGCTATCATGACATTTGCGGAGAACCATGGGTTCCTCTGTGTTACAGAATCCATTGCGTTGACGAAACTAACGAAGAAGCGAACGCACACGACAGGTAGGCGGTGCCGCGATGAGGGTTAATAGGGAAAAGCATGGCACGACAAGCAGTAGTTTCAACCTGCTCCACGCGGCGCTGCCCTTATCTCTTCCGCTGGTTATCTTGATTGCATGCAGGAATGTCTGATTTTGTGAAGAAAAGCAAATTGCTTGCTCCTATTGTTCGACATACCTAGTGCCTCGGTTGTTTTTGTTCGATGTAGCCGTACACTGTCTCGCGCGTTGATGTGCAAACATGTTGTGCCACGTTGGAGCACTTTTCGATATAAAGAATAATTCGAACCCCAGGAGTTCGCGTTTTACTCTATCAAATGCTACCTTCTGTAAAACTTTTTTATATATATTTTTTGCCTATTAGTACACCGGTGGCGTTTTCACAAGTGTATATTTACCTGTCTTCAATAGTGTTATCGTTTAGTTGAACGACGCTACTTCGACAAAAAAAAAACACGTCCTCAGCCTTCAAGATTTTAAATGTTCAAATAAGACCGATTCCCAAGCAAGTGGAGGTGCAAAAATACTGGCATAGAACGTACACCTTTTTTATGTCTATAACCACTTCCAAACACACGTAGACATTAACGTGATATTTGATATGGAGGCACAGTGTGCGGGAAAGTGGTCAATTGAGTGAACGCTACTGCGGCAAAAAGGTATCGGTCAACAAAATCACAATACAGGTTTACCAGACGTATGCAGGCTGGGCGGGTCATGCTACATCTCTGGTTTATTATGTCAATAAATACACAGAGAAACATCCAATACCACGCAATATAAACAATGCAAAACAATTTGACCCACACTTAAACACCTTACATTGCTTTCCTAAATGCAAAGCTGGTTTCTATAAGCTTACGGAGAAAAGGTATCATCATAAACGGTAAATATATTGTATACTACACAATATTGCAGGTTCGCGCCCAAGCTAGATTGGGAGTATTTAGTTAGTGGTCACTATTATTTGATAGCTTCCCTAAAAACAGTAATTTTTGCAGCATTAAGTATCAAGCGATTGTAATCGTTTCACAGAGCAGCAAGACGTACCTTGGTGAACTCCGGTGCCTCGTGTTCTCGTTTCAGAAAATCAAGTTCCTTAAGACAGAGGTCGACGCCAATGTGCTTAGCTACCATTTGCACAAATGTGCAAGGGGCGCTACCCTGAAAGAGATACAGCTCTACGGGCATGATGCTCTGCTACCTCACTCTTCGACGTCACTCCACCGAACTAATTGCAATTGCAACCGAGCGATATGTTGTCCTTCAAAGAAGAATTTTAAAAGACACAGTGCCGCCCCCTGGACGCTTGTTTGCCACGTGTGTCACGGCCATCGGTGCTCGCACTACATGGGCGCCTGTTTCCGCCAGTAAAAAAGAAAAAAAAACGCGTAAAAATCATACGGCAGGTGTACTGTTCTGTTATTGAGGGCATTTTTCGCTTTACCATGTTTGCTGCTTACTTCACCAGATCACTGCACCGCTTCTCCGCTACAGCTGCCTAACGAACTTTTTCCGACACTCATTTCATTCTTGCGAAAGTTTTCGCGTCAATTCATTCTTTGTAACTTCAATGAGTTGAAACTGGACAGCCCGACAGCTAACAGTCAAGCACTTTTAATTGAGGCAGTAAGTGCATGCACGAACATAATGAACCCATTGGACACTTCCTAATAATACACGATTCACAAACTAGTTGCGGTGATATGGCACCGGATATGTACGGGTGGATTCAGACGCGGAGCCCAGGCACACTGCGCTCCTTCCACAGGTGGTCGTGACACAAATCTCTTCTGGCGACAAAGTGGTCTTCGTAAAAACAAATACTAAGCAGGTTTGATTTGATAATTTGCATGTTCGTAGCAAGCCCGAGCTCTGCCCCCCCCCCCCGCTTCTTTTTCCTTTTTTATCAATCATGCTTACCCTTACACCAGCTTGCTCTCGGGCAATCATGTTTTTACTACAGCAATTCACAACAGAGGCGTTTTGCCAGAATTCATGTCTAAGGCTACATAATTGTGATTAGTGCGCATCTATATAGCTTATATGCTGTTAAGTTATTTACTACACTATTAATTTACTGTTCCATACTTACTCACGGTGTGCCACTAAGCAACGACTCCTAGAAAAATTATGTCCACAACGTCAGCCGCGAACGCGCCGCCCTACCCTCGGATTTTACCCTCCCCTTCTGGTACGGAGGCGAACGCCTGTGGCGGTCGCCCCTTGCCAACAAAGCAATGCTCTCACAGTTGCATCCGAGCAACTGTTATGTCACGTGACAGAGCGGTACGGAGGCGAGCGGTCCCACACGGTGGACGGTCGCAACACGCGGTAGGAGGCATGGCCTCCAAGATTTTGTGCTGGCAGGAAGCTCTCAATTGAAGAGAGAGCCGCGTTCAAGGTATAGTTTTTCTAGGAGGCGTTGTCCTAAGGTACTCGGCTGCTGTCATAGGTTCGATCCTAGACGTGGTCGTCATAGTACAGTGGACGCCAAAAGCTCGAGGCCCCTGTGCTGTGCGTTGTCAGCGCACGTTTGAGAACACCAGATGGCCAAACTTTCGGAGCCCTGCACTATGGTGTATCTCATAATAATATCGTGCTTTGGAACGTAAAGCCAGATATTATATTAACTATCAGGATAGCACGGCTCAGCGTGGATGTGACTCCGCTGAGCGCCGGTGCACCAGGCGGGGCCACGCATCATAGCGTAGCGTTGTACGCACCCAGGTACCACGGAACATACTACGCCTCGTACGCTTCAGCACGCGAGCGTGCCGCTCCGTATTGGGCACCGTGGCTGTGTGGCCGCTCTTGCTTGGCTGTACTATACTACATCAAGGGCTGCGATCTTGTGTGTACCTATGCCGCATCGACTTGGTGCTCGGGTGCAGCGGATGCAATGACGCTCGGCTGAATGCGGCCGCGCGGACAAATTATATTTGAACAGGCAGAGAAGCTTCCATAGAAACAAATGCGTCAAGAACTTGGCGGTTCGTTGCCACCGTCTCCATCTACCTATAACGGGGACAACAGCATAATAAAAATGAAAATAGGATGGCACGCTATTAATCCCAAGTGGTTGCGGCGTCACTCAGTTATGAAGCATGGTAAAAAATTTTTTTACAAGTTTTGCTTGGTTTTTTACTTTACTTTTTAAGTTATACTTGGTTTTTACAAGGTAAAAACCAAGTATAAAATACTTGGTTTTTACAACCACTGGATTTTTTCGGGCATCTTTATTGTTCGCTAACAGTCGTATGCGAAAGAAAAAGAGTATGAACAAGAAGGATTTGAGTAACAAACCAGCGGTATACTGCTGAAAAGAGTACTTGCAATATAGAGCAAAAAATATCAGGGTAATAACGATTCACGGGTGCAATAAATCAAAAACTAACGTTCAGTAATCGAAGAACGCCACCGGAGTGAGACAGTAGTCATAAACGTATTACCTTTGCAGCGTATTACACAGCACAGCGTCCTTTTATTGAAAGTGTTGCGGGCAGCGTCCGTAAAAGGCGAGGCCACGCCAGCAGTAGTGCGCCAGTCAAAACATTCTACGCTAAAAGAAATGATCATCTAAGCCTCATGCCAGCAAATTTATCTGCTATAAATGAAAGCACACTTAAATGAAACAGCCGACAGATTATACGCCTAAGGTCACTCGAAAAAGCGAGCGATGATTTCTTTACCCCACAGTGCCCTGGACGAGACGCAAGCCCAAAGTATATAGCATACTGCTTGCAAACCCTCATCGCCCATTTCTGGTGATCCACTAGAGAAACAAAAGACGGCAAGGAATTCAGCGAACTGTCAGGTAAAAGGTAAAGCAAACTGCTAGTGTATCTTGTCAGTTTAAAATAAAAACAATGCGGAAGCAGCATTCTTTCAGGTTTGGTTTTTATGCATGCCCCACCACGGTGGCCTAATGAGGCTTAGGTACTCGGCTGCTGATCTGCAAGTCGTGGGATCGAATCCCGGCTGCGGTGGCTGCATTCCTGATGGAGGCGGAAATGTTGTAGGCCCGTTCGCTCAGATTAGGGTGCACGTTGAAGTACCCCAGGTGGTCGAAGTTTCCGGAGCCCTCTACTACGGCGTCTCTCATCATATGGAGGTTTTCGGACGCTAAACTCCACATATCAATCATGTTCGGTTATAATTGTGTGTTCCAATCTCACCTTTCCACGCTTCATACGTACGAGATTCAGGTGTTCATTGCAATACGTTTCCACCACTTTTTTTCTTACCTTTGGCTTATGATATGAAGTAACCTTTGGTCACGTGTTGATGACGAAGGTGGTGTGCCGTTGACCTGCGTACTTGTCCTATCGCAGCGCCTACGACAATGAATGGTTTTTGAGATCAGTATCATAATGCCGGTTATGTATACTTTAGCAGCGTGGCTTTTCGTGAGTGCTCATAACGCAAGGCTCCGAAAACAGAAGGTAACATCAAGGGTTGAACGTCCCAAAACCACAATATGTATATGAGAGACGCTGTAGTTGAAGGGTCCGGAAATTTCAACCATCTGGTGCACCTTTAACGTGCGCTGACATCGCACAGTAGACCAGCTTCTACCATTTCATGTCCATCTAAATGCGACTGCCACAGCCAGGATTGAACCAGCGACCTTCGTGTAAGGAGCCAAGATCCACAACCGCTATACACAACCACGGCATACAATGCCAGAAAAACAAGCCAGAAATACTTTAAGGCTTGATCAGCTGCATTAAGGCTACCAAAATTTTTATAGCGTGTTTTCCTTTTTGTACTGCTGCGGACCGCAGGTATAGCGACTACATTGAATTTGAGATTTGCATTCTTATTTTCTAGATTAGGCTGGTCTTGGGCGTTTTTTGATTGATTGATTTGTGAAGTTTAACGTTCCAAAACCACCATATGATCATGAGAGACGCCGTATAGTGGATGGCTCTGGAAATTTCGACCACCTGGGGTTCTTTAACGTGCACCCAAATCTGAGCACATGGGCCTACAACACTTCGGCCTCCATGGGAAACACAGCCGCCACAGCCGGGATTCGCTCCCGCGAGTTGTTGGTCAGCCGCCGAGTACTTTAGCCACTAGACCACCGCGGCGGGGCGTTTGGGCGTTTTTTTGAGATTTCGAGAATAGAATTTCGTTTTCTCTGCAATATAGACATAATCAGGGGAAGGTGAAGTGTGTGGAAGGATTGGGAGTTGGACTGCGACCCATCTTTACTAGGTAGTTTCGCACTTTCGATGTTTGTTTGCAAACGCACAATTGGGAAATCCCGAAAAAATAAAAGGGTCGTCAACAACCAATGCGAACTTCACGCAGAGTCACCACCCTGGCTGAGCGCCACCAGACACGGTGCCGCCGTGCATTGATTCTTTGCGGCGAATGTGCACAGGACTGGCGTGTGCTCACTTGAAGCGCCGATGCAGCGTGCTTGCCTTGCTGTGTAACACACCTGTCAGCTTGCCTGTAGCAATTCAGCGCCTAGGGAATGGATTGCGGAAAAGAGCTCTTCACTTGCTACAGCGCATTGAGCAGATTTTAAAGACGACAGTCTTTCTTGAGGACATTCGAAGCGTAAATGTTTGCCTGTCTGTCTGCACATTTGTCTGTTTATCTGCCCATACGATACTTCAAACGGTACTTAACGATCCCCTTAGCGGCTGACCCCATCCGCAGCACCCACCAATGTCGCTCAAGATTCAGCGTTCATACTTGTGAGATTGTCAATTAGAAAGCAATTATTACGCATATATGAGGCACCACAACATCACTTCAATATTCTGTATGTCTGTCTATTTACAAGAAAAAACATACACGAGTTTTTCTAAGGACCGTAGCGCTTATCACGCTGCGCTGACGATGCAACGCTTGCACGAAAAGGCAAGTGTTTCTAACGCTTCGCTAAGACGACACGGTGGGGGCACCTACCCGTCGCCTTGCGTTCTACCCCTTATCATCCCGGAGACAGCCACGCACGCCGCGCGCTTTGTTTTCCAATATAACTGTCAGATAGCGCTCATGTCTCACGTGAGACGTGACTTGATGCGCTCGTTCGCCTCCGTTGCACGCTCGAGGCACTCTAAAGCAGCGCGTCCAGAATACCGTTCACCGATTTTCTTGCGCAGAACATCAAATAAACGTTTTGTTCTCTCTCTCCCGACGCAAGACTATCGTCTTTTGACGACATTTGCAGTGTAACATGCAAATACGGGGCCAATTTTTTTATTTATTTCATACGGCCAGCTTGCTTTGTA